TATTTATAGTACGGAACCGAACGGAACCGAATAGAACCGAACCGAACCGAACCGAACCGAAACCGAACGGTTCCAAAATTATATTTGGAACCGACGGTTCCATTTACTAAATACCCGAAAATTTTTGGAACCGAAAAAAACCGAACCGAACCGACCCGCGCCCACCCCTAGATGGCAATTCAAGCAATTCTCTATGTGATAAATGATTATATAAATAATATGTACTGTGAACGTATTAAGCATTCACTAACTAGGCGGCCAAAAACTAGATATGGATTTGACTATATACATAAAATATTAAAAGAGGATCCAGAAACCTTTCGACAAGTTTATAGAATGTATCCGGATATATTTCTACAATTAAGCAATATTATTAGAGAAAAAACACCATTACGAGATACTAGATATATTTGTGTTGAAGAAATACTTGCAACATTCCTACTCATTGTTGGTCAAAATACTCGATATTGCTTGATTTGTCAAAAATTTTGTGGATCGCATTTCACTACCAGTCGAAATTTCAAGAAGATTTTACAGACATTAAACAAATTTGCGGTAGATATGATGGTCAAACCCAGATCTATCGTGCCTTAAAAAATAATGGAAATTACAAGATTTTACTCGTACTATAAAGTAAGTGATGAAATATTAGTAATTATAATTTTTGTTTTAGTTATCATTATTTGTTTGTATTGATTTATTATTTTAGGATTGTATTGGTGCTATCGATGGTACCCATATTCTAGCAATGGTAACTGGACGTGATACAAGCAGTTATAGAAATTGTCATGGAACAATTTCGCAGAATGTTTTGGCATCTTGTAACTTTTATTTGGAATTTATAAATGTGCTTAGTGGTTGGGAAGGATCGGCACATGATTCTAAGGTGTGAGTGATGCTTTAACAAGGAGAAATGGACAATATGCCATAAGGTATGACTTTATTATTTTATTTTTTTCTTTTATCTTATTGTATGATAATTATACATGTTATAAGGCATTTGCTAATTTTATAATTATTTTATGCTCAGGTAAATATTTTTTGAGAGATTGTAGATTTCCGAATCGGCGTCAATTCTTAACGCCTTTTCGAGGTGTTCATTATCATCTTTAAGATTTTGCTGGTCAAGGTCGTGACCCTAAAAATATAAAAGAGTTATTTAATCTTCGTCATGCTTCATTGAGGAACGTAGTTGAGAGGATATTTGGTGTATTTAAATCACGATTTACAATTTTCAAAACTGCTCCTTCATTTCCATATGGTACACAAGCGGAGCTCGTATTGCTTGTGTAGGATTACACAATTTTCGTCGCAAAGAGTGTCGTTTCGATGAGTTTCCCGTTGAACCTGATAATAACGATTCTTCATCTTCTTCGGTTAATGAAGGGGAAAATTTTGAACCCTTTTTTGAGAGTCGAGTACTAGAAAGAGAGAGTGCTAATGCATGAAGGGCTATTATAGCAACTGATATGTGGAATGATATTGGGAATATTTGATTTTTTTATTTTTTATTTTGTTGAACATAACTAAATACAATTAAATTTTTTTGGTATTTTGATTATTTTTAATCCATTTTATGTGAGGGAAAAATTTTTTTTTTTTTTTAAATTTTACATGAGAAATCTGATTTATTGCTTTGTATTTTCAATATGAATGATTTGGACATATAAGAAATTG